TTTTTTTTTTTTTTTTTTTTTTTTTTTTTTTTTGTCATTCGGTAGAAGCTTTTTGGTATGAGTAATCCGGATTTTTCTGAACGAGTGAAAGTTCCCAGTTATTAATACTGTTATGTTCTAGGAGTTTGCACATACAATAATTCCTATTTTATTTTACAGATTGGCCGTTGATTACGATATTTGAAAACAAAGGCATTTTGTACAGATTCTGAGTAACTTTTTTGTAAAGCAGTATTTTCTGTATTTTTTTTTCGTCAACAGTGAGTTTACCTTTTGAAGAGGTAATTTAGTCTATTGCGATGACCAGTAGCGTTGAAACATTGAAGGCTCGTTTTGAGGAGGAGTTAGGCAAATTTAAACAACTTGAAAGGGGTTCGCTTGTTTTTGTTCATATTTTTTTCTTTTGTACCTTCATGGTTTTGCTTTTGCCATCTAACAACGCTTATTTTGCAGACCGCGAAAAAAATATATCGAATAGGCAGCAATTGGAAGGACAGTTAACAGAGAATAACCTTGTTAAAACGGTCAGTATATTATACTTCTTTAATCAATCATACAGTTTTTTGTTTGTAGTACTAAGAAACTTCACGTCATTTTGAAAATGGAGGACAGACAGGTCGTCATCATTTTTTGTTTCTTTTTTTTTTTTGCCTATTCCTCATTATGGAGTAAGTTCAGCGCGAAATGTGCTACTTGAAGCTTAAACTTTTGCTTCTAAGAAGTGATTATTTCTAGCTTTTATTGAACCATTTTTTTTTCTTCGTGTCTATCTGCTTGATGAAGCAGTTTTTGCAGATTTATTAAACAGGACTGATCATTATAAAAGTTAGAATCAATTTGGCTTTTATCATTCGCAGTCACCTTTCATACGTGCTGTTATTATTTGACTGTCGCATTTTCTTAAATGCTTGTTTTGGAGTGGTCGACTGTCGTTTTTTTAACTAGAATTACTTGGCTTGGTATACGCAACTTTACTGTCAAAGCTTGGCTTTCTGACCGTCATCCGATCAGTGCCTCCGCATTGATAAAGTACTGAGGGGATAGTGAGTAGTTCTATACTGGACCTTCTTAAGTGTTTTCTCAGTATGTTCCCGTGAATGGACCGTTATAAGGATCTCACTGATATTTCACAAGTTATAGATCTATAAATTTTTAAGTTTTTCAATCCTTTGGGATAGATTTTGAATCTGACAAGCTATAACTGCTAGGTAAATTCATAATTAAAAATGAGAATAGATTAAGCTGTAGGGACACTTGTGGCATCACAGCTGTCACGATTTTTTATAATAGATCCATTGCTAAATACGAATCGGTATACTAGTTATCAATTTTGGTTTCAGCCTTGCGCAGCAAAATTTTCTACATAATTCTTTAATTGCTTTTGAATCGATTTTTCGATGTCTTTAATGAAAACTTTTACAAAGAGCAAGTTCCTCTAACTTTATAGAAAAACATCTTGGTTTTATAAATGTGTGGATTGGTGGAACTGGTCGTTATTTCTATATATCAACTATAGAGGTGTCTTGTCCCATATTGCATATCATATCAGGGTTACGACTAAATAGCTAGATGAGAGAATATTGATGGGGAGCCAAAATCAAATTACTTGCTTTATCTTTTCAGGAGCTAGAATTGCTGGAAGAAGATGCTACTGTGTATAAATTAATTGGTCCTGTGCTAGTAAAGCAAGACTTGGCTGAAGCTAGACAAAATGTAGACAAACGCATAGCCTATATAAAAACAGAAATGTTAGTCTTCAAAGTATTAATCGAATTTTCGGAGATTTTTTTCATTAGTTTGGGAAAAGTTTGTGGTAATAATCCTTGGCTGCTATAATCGGTTTTTGCTGACTTATTCTGGTCGTTTTTGTCAACTCTGAACATTTAGTAAGCGATTAGAAGAGACAATGGCAGATGCCGGCGAAAAACAGAAAGCTCAGAAGGAAACACTGGTGAAGATTCAAACGGCTTTAAAACAACGTCTCACCAGTGACAATCGTTGAATATATAAGCATGACATTCTTTACTTGTCTAGTTATATAAAGTGGAATTTGTGCTCTGCTTGTCAATTGTATTTACTGAATTTTTTATTGCAAATTTCTTCTCTTGTTGAGCTGTTTACAAAAGCACAAAGGAACTTCTTGCTATCACTTTTGTTTTGCTGCTTTGTTGTTAAAAAGATTACGTGTACTTTTGTTGAGTATTGTTATTTGAACCATTCAGAATCAACCTATAGATAAAGCTGAAGGATGTCCATTGTTTATAATTTAAAATGACATATTTTTGGGGAACTGTGTGTTTAAACCATAGGCTAATGAATTAAAGATCTAATTCAAACTTAACGCGGTGTTTACCTGTTCAACTCAGTCGTTACTAGTAATGTGGTTTTTTTCGTAAGTCGGACCAGTTACTGTCTAAAATGTCTGTTCTAAAGAAAGGTAATAAGTTACGGGGTTAGATGGACTGATTCTTTCCTAAACTGAAACAAATGAAGATTCCTTCTTCCGTTCGAAGGGCTGACAAGCATGAACCAGTGTATTTTGTTTCCAATTTATGTATTACAAGGAAAAAACTGTTAGTTTATCAGTGTTTTTTCTGCTTGTGCAGCTGTCAAGCAACGATACCTGTTGTAGGTGGGGACGCAAAATGATTTGTTCCGCTTGACTACAGTCGAAATCAGCCGTATCCCCAGCATGTGAATAGAAAAACAGCTAATGACACTTCTTCCGTGATCCTGTTTAGATCACTCTTCGTTGTTGCTCCCCTTCCCGGCATAAACTAAGCTGAATAATAAGTAAAGACAACATTTAAGGATTGAGAACGGATCTAAAGTCCAAGGAGGATTAGGAGAGCATCGATATCACGCGCGGCAATCAACTGGGAAACAGTAGGAGACATGTGGCAATGAAGTACAAAGGTGCTCAGACACATCACATAAAACATTCTCCATTTTGTCCTAGTATATATACTTGGCATTCCTACGCTTTGCAAACACGAAATAATTGCGGAGACCAGGAATTTGGAGGAACTGTACTCCGAAATATGCAAATTTTGGTATGCGGAATCTAAATATACGTAAGTTTAGAGGCATTTTAAGGACACTCATCCAAAATTGTTAAACACTAGATAAAAGTTAGCGTAATGGAAAACAACCGATGTCATTGCAGTGATATAGTCTTTTCGATAATCCGTCAATTTCCAGGATAGAAATAAAAAGTCTGAAGAAAACAATTTAAACATTCTTCCCGCCGACAGGAAAAGCTGAAGTTTTGCATACTGTACAATGCTGAACTACAGCTGAAGCTGTTGCTGAACAGTGCAAACAACTGTTAATCACTGCTGGCAATAGTAAGAACTTTATAAATTAAGGCAGGATTATAACACATGTGAAATTAGTCATCGTCTAAAACAAGTTTGTTTGTGAAAGGAATAAGACCATATTGATAAAAAATTGAGCACAAATACAAAGTTAAGTTTATGTTTGAAGTTTTTCGAGACCGTTAATAACATATTCCTGCGTAAAGTTCTGTTCGTCGGAAGCCAAAGGATTTTGCCCTACATTTGAGAGATCAAGAAGAATTTTCCTTCTCGATACAAACGGCCTGTACCTGATCTAAACAAGACAGAATTTTATAGCATTTGAATAAAACTGCTCTAACTTTACAAATATTACTGTATGCAATAGCGATTTCTAGAAGCTAAGAAACAACTCACCCCTACAATATCAAATATGCGCTTAGCAGCTACTGTATCAACTTTGTTCTCTTTAATTTGCAAATACACAACTTCGGCTATGCCGCTCTGAAAAGCACCATTAAATATTTCTCCAGTTAGGCTTTGAAAATGGTTTGCTTACTCTAAACTTGCTTGATGATGAAAACAATTGTTACCTGGACTATAATTTTTGCACATTCAGCACAAGGAAATAAAGATGTGTAAAGAGTTGCACCTCGCGTTGATTCACAGTTTCTGTTTAGAACAGCATTCATTTCAGCATGACAAACATACAGGTATTTGGTATTCAGCGGATTCTCATCTCTTTTACCCCATGGCATGATATCGTCCGAACATCCGTTAGGCATGCCGTTGTATCCTGTCGCAATTATTTTTTTGTCTTGGTTTACAATGACCGCTCCAACCTGAGAACAACACCATTACTAACCTAACTATTATTGCTTAGCCCAGTTTTACAGGTAACAGTTTCAAACATAATACTAACTTTATAAACAAAAGTAGGAAAATGTTTATAAGTCATAAGCCGACTGTCGAAAGTAACAAGTAAATTTTGGAAAAGAAGACACAAATTATCTACCTGAGTGTGTGGATCTTTGCTACGCTGTGCAGCCAACAATGCAATACTCATGAAGTACTCTTCCCATGACAGATAATCGCTTCTTTTAGTCACAGATTGACTAAAAGAATTTACACTGACAATGCACTTTCCACCGGTCGGTAAGCGTTGTAACACCAAATGGTATGGATATCAAAAGTTACGTGAAACACTGCTAACAGCCAATTTTAAAAATAAGTTCCTGTACGGAAAAAGCAAAACTTTAACAAGTAAACAAAAACTCCAAGGAGTATAATAAATGTGAAGTCTAACTTTGAAATCAAATTTGACTTTTGCATACTTCCTGATGCACTTGTAATTGGCCCCTTCGTGACGGATAAGTATGAAAATATAAACCTGCCGCAAAAGCAAATATGCAGCACTTCTGGACTGACCTAGCCCAGCCAACTAAGACCTGTAAAAAACTTCTTTTACTAATAAAAATTTATAAATTCGATGTCTTTACTGTAAATCAAATTATTAAATGGGCCATTTCTTTCGAAAGGCGCAAATTCTGTTGACACGCACAGGTCACGGAACACTCTTATTGCGTCATAATGGAGTCTGAGGTATCTCAACAGTTTCTTTTTATCTGCTCTCAGAGTTTAGAACAATTTTTATCGGTTTGATTACCAACAACTTGATGGCTATGGAATAATCTTTGTTAAATATTTCTTCAATAACCAATTTCACTGTATTGCTCCGCCCTTTCAAATCTTTAATCTGCCACTATTCCTCGTATACGAGACAAATACAGGTAACGGTTATGAGATAAACACATATTCACTGCCTTAAATCCTTCTGAACTCTAACCTAACCAAACCTACTAGTGCTTGTTTGCTTTGTACTCAGAGTCCCAAAATAACTTTTGAACTTAGAAAAAGCGGGAAATTTAAACAGTAATAAAAAAGTGATAA